AAGTTTGATCTTAAATGCTTTTATATTATCGAAACGCTTTTCAGTAAAGTAACAAAAAACTTCTAATTAATTTTAAAAATAAGTATTGATAAACTGTTTTTTTTTTATTTAATTATGTATTTTTTATGAGAAATGTTTATTTTTTGAAACTTATTAAATAAAAAAAAGTACAAATGTTAAATCAAAGATTGAAATGGTTTTTTAATGCATAAATTAAATAGACTAAACAATTTTAGTTTGATGAGTTTTGTTTTAGTTGAGTTATATATATATTTATTTTTTTGTGTTCTTGCTTTAACTAAGTTTTTTTTTTCTTTTCTCTTTTGTTAAGATTTTTTTTTTTACAATTTTTTTTTTAGATAAATTTGTGTAAGCTTTTGTAGGACATTCTTAAATTTTAAAAATATGTCTAAAGCCGTGGTCAAATATTAAAAACATTATTTTTTGCGTGGTCATATAAAGAGCTTCCTGTGAAAGCCTGTATATGTATTTATATATATATATATATATATATATATATATATATATATATATATATATATATATATATATATATATATATATATATATATATATATATATATATATATATATATAAATATATATATATATATATATATATATATATATATATATATATATATATATATATATATATATATAAATATATATATATATATATATATATATATATATATATATATATATATATATATATATATATATATATATATATATATATATATATATATATATATTTAAACGTTTGAAACTATTTTTCCATGTCTTCTTAAAAACCTTTCAAATCAATATTTTTAAAAATAATTTTTGTTTAACTTACTTTAATTAATGAATAAGTTCAAAACCTTTTGTGACTACTAGCTTTTAAACATTTTATGTGAATTTAAAAGAATATAAAATAACTTTATTTACTTGTATTTTATTGATTAATGGAAGTTTTGAAGCATTTTGTAATGCTCATACAATTAATTTTTATAATTAAACTTATGATTTTTTTAAATCCAATTGGGATAGGAATTAATGAGTTTAAATCTTTAATAATAATTTTTAAACTTGTTACGTGAAGCATTTATTAATAAAATTGTTATGCTTAAATTAAAAATAAATTGTTTATTGGCAGTTTATTTAATTTAAATCAAAGGTACATTTATTTTTCCCTATTTTTACGAATAAAAAAGTTGAAAATCTTTTTTTTAACTAGACCTACTAATTAGAGCATGAAATTATTAAAAATTACTATTTTAAAAGGACTAGGTTTTTTTTTTTTTGCAACCTTTTCGAAAAAAAAAAATGTTTATACAATTTAAAAATATTATATATAACACTTTTCAATAAATTGGATAAAATTTGTTCATTTATTAAACAACCATTAGTAGTAATTTGTGACTTAACTTAAAAGCATTTTACACTTAAATAAAACGTTTAAAAAGAAAAATTTTAATAACATTTATTTCAAACATAATTAAAAACATAACAAAAAGTTTTGCTTTGAGTTTAAGTTTTTATTTTTTACGAATAAAAAAGTTCAAAACCTTTTTTTTAATTAGACTCACTAATTAGAGCATGAAATTAGTAAAAATTACTATTTTAAAAAGACTACGTTATTTTTTTAAACAATTTTTTTTTGCAACTTTTTTGACAAAAATAATGTTTATACAATTTAAAAATATTATATAAAACATTTTTTAATAAATTTAATAAAATTTGTTCTTTTATTAAATTAATCATCAGTAGTAATTTGTTACTTAATTTAAAAACGTTTTGCTTAACTTTAATAACGCTTAAAAAGATAAGCTTTAATAACGTTTATTTCATACGTAATTAAAAACGTAACAAAAAGTTTTGCTTCAAGTTTAAGTTTTTATTTTCATTTCAGTGCTTATATAATTTCTTTTTCGTTATGATTTTGTTTTTCGTTTCTTTTTTCGTTAGGAATTTTTTTTTTCCTTAGTTTTTTTTTTAATTTTTTTTCCTAGTTTAAGTTTAGCTTAGTGTTTCTACATTCAGAACATTTCTGAAATTTTTAACTCATCAAAACATATAAACATTGTTTATTAAACAATCCTGGTCAAGTTGTCAAAAAATAAAATCATTTGCGTGGTCAGCAATAGCGCTCGATCGCACCCCATTCCTGTCCAAGCCTGATATATATATATATATATATATATATATATATATATATATATATATATATATATATATATATATATATAAATATATATATATATATATATATATATACATATATATTTTAAGGCCAAGGCCAAAACAATAATAGCCAAGGCCAAAATTTTCAAGACTAAGGTCAACAGTTTGAAGGCCAAGACCAAGGCCTTAATGCAAGGCCAAAGCCTTAATTTTTCGGCCTTAAGGCAAGGCCAAGAACTAACAATACTGGTCTCGGTTAACTATTTGGCGTCTTTATCTTGGTATTGCAGGCCTTGACAGGAAGCAAGAGCATTAGCTCTCTGTCTATTGCTCACAATCCCCTAAAATGGTTTATGGGAGCAATTTACAGCTCTCGCAAAAGTATAAATTTTGTGTATTAAAAAAATCAAATTAAAAAGGCATGGTTAAGCTTCAGAATGACTTTTTTTGTTTACAAAATGAGATTTCTGTAGGTAACAACTGATTTTTTTTTGTAGTTTTTGAGATTGTATGTTAATTACACTTGCTAACAGCTTGTCAACTTTATAGTATAAGTTATTTTATACTTAAACTATTGTTTTGTTTTTAGGAGAGCAGAATTTTAGTACTATAAATGTGAATAGAAGCATTACATAATTATAATACAAAGTTAAAATAAAATTAGTGAAAAAAAATTTTTTTTTTTTTAAATTTTAGAAACACAGATATGCAGAGAGAATATTGTGTAATATATCTAACATTAATGACAATATGGTTGAGCTTGCAAAGTTGTTTATAAAAGAAAAGAATTATTATTGTAACTAAAATGAAAAACTTTTTAAAAATAAAAATAAAATGATTTTTAAAAAGCATGGTTGTTACAACCAAAATAAAAAATTAAAAAAGAGCACCAACTTAATGCAAATGTTTTAGATTAGACTGATAAATATAAAATTACTTCACTCTAAATTATATTGATAAAATATAAAATTATTTAACTGAATAAATATAAAATAATTACATTTAAATTAAACTCCAAACATTTATATGTTAATAATTATGTCAAAAAAAAATACTTAGTCCCAAATAAAGATATTTGGGGCTTACTTTAAATACATTTATCTCAAAACATAAAAGGTTTAATTCTCCCATCATCTAATATTTGATTTAGTGATTTTACCAACAAGCAACTGCAACAGGTTTTGGTAGCACCTTATGATACAGTTTGTCATGATTGTAAGTATGTAAGCAAATCCTTGGTTGAATTAAATAAAATTAAAATCAAATAATTTAGTTGATGTGAAGCTTATAGTCTCTGTGACAGCACAATGACTATATGCTTGTAGAAATAAGAGATACAAAAAACCCAAAATGAATTTTAAGCAACAATGCATTAAAATAAAAAACTTAAGGATGACATAAGACTGATTTATGACTCAAACCAATGGCTATATAAAACTTTTTGATGCTTTAGAAATGACATGATTAAGCCTTGAGCAAACTTTAAACTTAAATACATTCATGCTTCTTATATCAAATGAGAATGTTTTGCAAAAAATTGCAGTAATTTAAGCCTGGGAACCAAAATACTTTAAAACAATCAAACCACCTCTGCCCATACCCTAAATGTGAGGGCAATGATTAATTAAAATATTTTTTTTACTTTCTTATACTAAATTTAAATTCATTGACATGTTTTTAACTTTATATAGTAACCATTTAGTGTTCGCAATTTATGACTATGTAAAATTTAGAACCCTCTTATACCCCTCATTTATATACTTTTTTATATTATTATACATTTTAAACAATTTTAAATGGCAAAATAAGCTAAACTAAAACAATTACTATATTATTTTGCAAAGCTCATTAGACATAGACATGAACAGTCTTAAGTTTAGAGTTTGCATTACGCTTGAAAGTATAATCTTTGTAATATTAAAATATACAAATATTCTTTTATTATAAATTATTAAATTAGAAAAAAAGTAAATAAAAAGTAGAAAAAAAGTAAATAAGAAGTTTTTAAGCTCTCTTTGTTTTAGTTTAACTGATAAAAAAAATTATTACATAAAGAATTTTTATTTTTTTATTATTATTTAACTTTAGTTCATGTAAAATAATTTTTGAATTTTATTTAAATACTTTTTTTAATATTATAAATTATTTATATATAACTAAACTTTAATCATTAAATTCAAAACATTTATTGTTTTGATAGTTTTTACAATTTTGTAAAATTGAAAAAACTATTAAAATTTAGTTTAAAGTAAAGTCTCCTTAAATACTTTTTGGGTAATTTCCAAAAAACAAAATTCAATTTATTCAAATATCATTATGAAATGTTTTCCAACACTTGCTCAACATTAATTTTAAAGATAAGCAATAACACAGCTATTTACCAGGCTTCAATGATACACTTGGTAAATTCAACAGGGCTAGTTTTAAAAAACTCATACAAGTTTACATAGTAAATGTTTATAATAGAAAGTAGAAATATTATATAGTAAATGTTTATAATAGAAAGTAGAAATATTACATAGTTAATGTTTACAATAGAAAGTAGAAATATTACATAGTAAATGTTTAAGAGTTACAAAAGTTTTAAAACAATTTTTTTTTTAATTTAATGGTAAAAAAACAACATGATTCTAAACTATGTTAAAAAAAGCAGAAACAAGAAGGTAAGCAAAAGATACTATGACTGGTTGGTTTTGATTTTTCAAAAAAACAAAGAGCAGATATATTACTGATTTGGGAAGAAATGTAGGAGAGTGCTGCTACATTGACTATTAGTATCTTTCCCTTACCAAACAAGAACTGTATAAAAAGTATAATCATTAATTTCTCACAATATCTTTTTTTGTTTGTTCCATAAAACCACTCATTCCTTTCACAAGTATTGGATTAAGAATTGCTGGCTCTGGAATAAGAGAATCATTTTGTTGGGTAATTGGTAAAATATTTAATGGTAACATAGTATTATTAACTTTATCAAAACATTTTTTTTTTAGCGGTATTACTTGATTTATTAAAGTATCTCTATTTTCATATTTTCTTTTTTTTTCTTCTATATTGTTTAAATTTATCTTATCAGAAACTTTATTTTTAGTCCCTAAAGAACTAATTTCATCTCTAATGCAATGTAAATCTTTATTAATAGAAGTAGAGTTTAAAACTTCAATACCACTACCAGAAATATTGTTAGTGGAATAATGTAAATCCTTTTTATAAATATCAAAATTTTTATTATTAGATTTATCAATGTCAATCTTTTTATTTATGCTGTTACCATTGACTTGGGATGATAAGAAAATATTTTCCACAATGTCGTAAGGCATCTCAACTAGACTTTCGATACATGATGTTAATAAAAGAGAATGGTCTTCCACTCCTAAACTTAGCAATACATGATCATATAAATATCCAATTGCATCTTCGCTATGCTGAGGAAAGATTTCTTTTAATTCAATAATAATATCTTGTTTAAGTGGCATTTCTAAGTATAATAATGATTTTTTACAGATTCAGAGCAAATACATGCGTATATAAAAACAAAATTCCTTTTTTACTATTCATATCGTATATTAACTATCTTCAAAATTGAAAACTAATAATACTACAAATAAAAAAAATAAAAAACTAATAAAAATAAAAAACAATCCCAACGTGACAGTCAAAAACAAAATAACGACTATATTAAAACCAATAAGATCACGTGTTTAAAGCAAAGACTCAAAGCAAAAACTTAAGGCTAAACAAAATCTGGGACAACGGAATAAGCGCGAATTTCATAAGTGCGAACCGGCATAAGTGCGAATTGGAATAAGTGCAAAGCAGTGATATAAGGGCGTATCGGCATAAATGCAAACTGGTATAGATGCGCCAAAAAAAATTAGCAAACATTAGCATAAGTGCAAATTATTTGGCAATATTTGCAATTTTGTCGGCGCACTTATGCCAATTCGCACTTATGCCAGTTTGAACTTATGCCAATTCGCGCTTATTAAAAATAAAGATTTTCAAAAGTAGAGGAACATGGGGTAAGATGACGAGTGGGGCAAGATGACGACCTACCATTATCTAGTAAGCAAAACTAAATATAACAGCTGACTTTAGCTGAAAAGAAAGTAGATTGTATTTACTAGATTTATTAATGCTTTCTTTTTAAAAAATATTTTTGTGACGAAAGTTAATTATTGAAAAGGTTTTTCCGACATTGAGAAAAAATTTTTTATCCTCATTTGACTTGATTTATTTCATCGCTACATCACCAGCTAAAGGTTAGCGAGAAATTTCCATTTAGTTTGAATAATCTGGAAGCCATACAAGAAGTATTAGGCTATGATAACTTGATTATGTATAGTTCTGATTCATTTTAATGATTGTATTAACCTAAGGCAAGATGACTGGGGCAAAATGACTTGTCCTTCATCTACGTTAAACGGAAGTTTACTTGTACTCTTTGCTATTTTTGTATTGTTTACTCATTATTTTATTACGAAATACAATATTTTGTTTGACCAAGGAGTTGCAATAGCGTAGCTATATATAATAGCGTAGCTAAGCTATTATACCTTCTTGGTTTGACAATAGTTTTACTTTGATGCGTTGGAGTTTGCTACAAGACGATTTGAGTCTACATCGGTTAATAAGTTTTTCCTCAGCTATTTTTAACATATAGAATGGTTTTTGATACATCAGTGACGTGTTATTGACTAAGATATAGGCGTTTTCCGAAACGTTCGTCATCTTGCCCCGTGTTTCCCTACGCCAAATAAAAAAAATTAATATGATAAACACATAGACAAAATTTCAAAATTAACAATAGAATAATTTTGAAACTTTGTCTAAATATATATTAGTAAACAAATGTATTTTGCTTACTTTTCTTTTTTGCCCAAAATATATATGAAAAAAATATTGTAAAATACAAAAATAATTTTTTTAGCAGTCTACCACCTTAAGAAAAATCTAGATATGGAGGAAAATTTTTTATAAAAATTGATGGTTGTATCCCTCCCCTTTTCCACTTCGAAACCCGTGCCGTTGGCCCGGTAAAGTAAAGTGTTCTTTATCTAGGTACGAACACTTGTCAAGAGATCCATCAAGTAGGAGACACTGTACAGTTAGTCGCAACATATCTCCTGGAAACCCCACATAAACTACATTAACACAAAAATATCAAAGAACATTGGTTTACTAAACAAAGCAAGACCATTTTTGTCACAAAAAAAACCAAAACCTGTATACTTTTCATTCATACATAGCTACCTGATGTATGCTAATATAGCATGGGGCAGTACCCACAAATCTAAATTAGAACCACTTTACCTACGTCAAAAAGACGTTTCAAGACTAGTATACAACAAAAATAAATTTGCTCATGCTCAACCCTTATTGGAACAAATGAACGCACTAAATATATTTCAAATAAATGTTTTTCAAAATATACTTTTCATGTTTAAATATAAACTAAATCTGGTTCCAGAACATTTTACAGCACACTTTTTAAAAAACAGTATAAATAAATACAATACAAGAGCAACAGATAACTTTAAGATACCGTTTGATACAATAAGACTCTCGTAATTCTCAATTACATATCGTGGTCCGTATTTATTTAACAAATTAGTTTCCAGAAACAAATCACTATCAAACCTAAACAACAAAAACTCTCTGAAAATAAAGCTAAAATCTACAATAATTAAGTTAAACAACTATGAGGAATTTTTTTTAAATATTAATAAAAAAAATTAAAAAAAAAGTAGCTTAACTTTTAATACAAATCGAAAATAAAAAATAATAATATTAATAACAAGGTATATATGTACAACATACATATATACCACGTATACAAATGATTTTTATGTGTATTACTCCAGAAAAAGGTACTCGAAGACAAGACTGACTTAAGTCTTCTGCGAGCTTCCTATAACTACTAACAAGTAATTCTTCTTATCAATCTTACAAAAATTTGGTTTTTATCATATTTATACACAAACATTAGCTTGAAATGTGGTAAATAAACTTATAGTCAAACATCTAAACACTTATCCGAAAAATCAGCTAATTTATTTTTTATTTATTTTATATTTTCATTTTAACTGGAATAATATAAAGATATATTTATCGGATTATATTTATGTTCACGTTATTACATTGTTGAAATTAATGTTTATTTTATTCGTGATTAGGAGTTATTGCAACTAAACTTTTGTTTACTTTGTATATTTCGAACTTCATGTTTATGATATTTGTGTTTGTATATCTTTACCGCCAATCTGTGATTGGTTACTTGTAAATACTTTGTAGTTGTGAAATAAACATGTAAAAAAAAAAAAAAATAGGCAAAATAATAAGCCGCAAAATGGTACCCAATTGGCGAGGATTATAGATAATAAAAAATAAGGATTCCTTGTTTGTTTAAATTATGCTTTAAACAAACAAGGAATCCTTATTTCAGATAAAAAATGCGATTTTCAATAAAAAAAAAACTTCAGATAGTCTTTTGATCGCAATTTAAGATATTTTTCTTACGGCTTGTCGCGTTATTGTTCAGACATAATTTAAACGACGTTTTTGTTTTTACGTGATTTTTCAATAATTTAAATTAAAAGGGTTTACACCTTTTTTTTTTTTTTTTTTTTTCAAATTCAAATTCAATTTCAAATTCAATTTCAAATTCAATTTCAAATTTAATTTCAAATTCGATTTCAAATTCAATTTCAAATTCAATTTCAAATTTAAATTCAAATTCAAATTCAAAAAAAGTTGTTTTTCGATACATGTATCGAAAAACAACTTTTTTGAATTTGAAATTGTAATAGAGCGGAAAAGTTGCATAATGCTATAAAAAATTTGGCACAATTACTTTTTATAGCGTTATGCAACTTTTCTGCTTTATTACAATTTCAAATTAAAAAAAAAATTGTTTTTTGATTCACCCTACCCATGATTTCTTTATTTAAATTAGCCGATTCGTTGACCATTTTTTCTATAGCCATCTGACTTTTTTGAACAAATGTTTTATTTTTTTTAAATAATTTGTATATATTATTTTGTAGATATTAAATTTAACAGAGTTCAAAAATTATATGTAACTATAAAACCCCTTACGGAATTGCGATAAATAAAAGTAACTTTTTTTTTGTAATGAAACCTTTATTCAACTAAATTTCAATCAATGTTTATAGAATTCTATCTGTGTTCAAATATATATATATATATATATATATATATATATATATATATATATATATATATATATATATATATATATATATATATATATATATATATATATATATATATATATATATATATATATATATATATATATATATATATATATATATATATACCTACTAGAAATAAAATGCGGAGTTCCCAAAGGTTCCACTCTGGGTCCCCTTTTATTTTTAATATATATCAACGATCTTCCAAAAGCCCTAAAAAAACTTGATGTAATAATGTTCGCTGATGATACAAATTTATTTTACTCATTGCCGTCTATAAGCGACCTTTACGAATCTATGAACACTGACCTCGAAAACCTCAACATCTGGTTTAAAGTAAATAAATTATCTTTGAATACAGAAAAAACAAAATATATCTTGTTTCACCCCAACCGTTTTAAAAACTTTATACCAGGCACTCTACCTTCACTAAAAATTGATAACATAAACATCAAAAGAACTGAAATAACTAAGTTTCTTGGAATAATTGTTGACCAGAATATTAATTGGAAAGCCCATATTAGTACAATAAACACAAAAATATCAAAAAGTATCGGCGTACTCTACAAAGCCAAACCTATGCTTTCCCAAGACAACTTAAAAATTCTCTTCTTTTCTTATATTTTTCAAAGTTACCTAACATACGCTAACATTACATGGGGAAGTACCCATAAAACTAAATTAAATTCACTCTACATACATCAGAAACATGCATCAAGATTAATTTATAATAAAGATAAATTTACTCATGCCGACCCTTTACTTAAAAATTTGAATACATTAAATATCTATCAAATAAATATTTACCAAAATATCTTATTCATGCTAAAATACAAACTCGGATTTGTTCCGAAATACTTACTTTTTCATATCAACGCAAACAAATATATCACACGAGGAACAGGCAACTTCACCTTGCCTTTAAAAAAAAACAAAATTCTCGCGATTTTCTTTAATATACCGTGGCCCATACTTATATAAAAAAAATAATACTTCAAAATATGGAACTTAATAAAATGGATAACCTTATTGCTCTGAAAAAAAAACTAAAACATATCATAATTAACTTAACCAACTTCATCGAAATGTATTAAACAATTTGGGAAAAATACTAATAATAAAAAGCCCTACTACTTCTACTATATAGTAGATACCAAAATACTTATGTGTATTTGTTGAACTAGTTCATTAAAGTTTATTTTATGTTTTAAAGGTTCTCTATGAAAAGACTATTTTAGTCTTCTGCGAGTTTCCTTACAGCAAAGAAAAAAATCTTTTAAGAATATTTATATATATATATATTCAACAACGTCCACAAGCAAGTCCCTAGTAGCCCTGTGGTACACGT